TCGGAGATCTCTGTCCAGAAGAGCGCAGTCCTGGGAACAGCTAAGATACTGCGCAGGACCCTCAAGCTCCCAGGCCTCTGGTAGAGGACCCGAGCTTGAAGGATAAACCGCCCGCAGGGGCGTGCTGGGTGTTTTTTTATACATACATAAAGTAGAAAGTAAAGTAGCAAGATTTACTGCAGCAGAATAATGACTAAAAGTGACCAAAGTCATGATAAAAGTCAGAGATTTTTATCATGACTATCAAGATTGATTTTTATCAATCTTCAGTGATATAAAAAATAATGGAAGACCATAATTATTTAATTTAACATATAATAGAATATCTATCACAGATATAGAAACAGTATGAGGAATATAATGTAGTTATTTAAGCGGCTTGGTAGCTCAGGGGTTAAAAAGTCAGATACAATTATTGACCTCACTATGCTTATAAATAGTTGTGCAAAAATTGTGATAAGTAGCTTCTGAAGTACTTGTACAAACATAATCTTTTATGTAAGAAATCTACACAGACATGCAGCGAGAGCTGGAGGATTAAACACTTTTGTATTGAGAATTTTTTCTATTGTCTTGTAAATCCACTGCCACAAAGCTAAAACACATATTCACACTATTGTGTATCAGATAGGGCATCTTAGTTTACCTTAACTTTTTTTTCTTGTATTTTTCTAAGAAAAAAAGCCCTTGTTCTAAGATTTTGGAGATATTTGGTTAATAGTGGATGTTACTGTAGATAACAAGAACAGAATACAGAGGGGCATAAACTCCATTTGTGAACACTTTCTGTTTTAGTATTCTATTTTTTTCTCCAGTCACTCAGCACAGAATAGAAAACAGGTCATGCCAAACACACAAATGTGCCACAGGGTAGTTCTTTTGACCTGGATAGCTGGCCAAATTTCTCAGTTTCTCAACAATACAACTTGGAGATGTTTTGAATATATAAACACAAGCTGGCAGTCATCAAGATCTAAGCAGATGGGGTCGCTGAGTACCCTCGTGGCACTCTAACAGAATGGCCTTTACTCGCTCTCATTCACTCCTGAAGATGTCATTTATTTAACAGGATGTCGCCCTCTTGTGGTCCCTGCTGGATCTTATTGCCTTCTCTCAAAAAAACAGCAGCAGTGGAGAAACTTTGCTTACTGGAGAAGAATGTAATGAGGGTTGATATGCCTTGTAGGGAAAAGACTGACAGGGACCGGCAAATTCTCAGTAAATCACCTATGGCTCTTTGGGATTAGGGTCGCTTCAGACAAGCCAATCACTGCTTTGGGTAAGGCTGGTTGGATTGCTTCGGGTGACTTATGTCTGTCTAATGATGGCTGGGCTTGATGAACAGACATGTGGAGCCCAGTGGTGAACAATCCAAAAAGGTTTTTCAAGCACTCTGCTGCACTGTATTCCATATTTAGAAAGCTATGTGTTCAGCCACTGCTTCACGAGTGATGCTTTGTTTAACTCATTTAATGTTTACTGAGAGAATTGTAGACTTTTAATATGAAATGTATTAAATCAGCTTTATTTACTTTCTTTTTTAATTGTTTTTCCTCCTGCCTTCATACAGCTTGTTTGGGAAGCTACTGTGGAGCTCGAATTATTTGAATTACTTGGCACTTTAAAATATTTTGACAAGGGATTCAATGACCCACAACGGTGTTCAGCAGATCTCAGACCAGTGTTGAAAAAGGAGTGACACTGTTTATTAAAATACAGCCCAGAGGTTTTTTACATACATTAAATACTGATACGGCAACATACAAGGAAAAGACTTTTTTTTTCTTTACTTCTTTAAGTCACTCTAGTTAACATATTATAAAAATATACTATGTCCTATTTAACATTTTTTTTTACAATTAGAAGGCAATTTAAATCACAATAAACATAAATATTCATACAGCTAATTCATTTTCAAAAGATCTTGTTTTTTGTTTATTTATTTTACAAAACAAAACAAAACTTTATTGAAAAACAGAGTGTTTTCATATAAAACACTGTCTGGAACATAAAATTTGACTCCATTTTGAAGTTTTATCATTTTAAATCCCATATGAAAAATGCAAGACATACTGTTGTACAAAAAAAGAAGGAAAAAAAAAAGAAAAATGACTTTTACAAAAGGGTTGGTCTCACATAGGCATATTTCCACAAGTGGAGTAGCATGGCCACAGTATTCCAAAGCTACAAACAACCAGGCTTCGTGGCAGCCTAGCATAAAATCTTGGCACTGACAACTTGCATCACACAGACAGTGTTTGGTCTCACTGTGTTATAGTAATGGCTTTAAACCTTTTCCATTACAATGTTGTAATATTGCAGCCTTGTGCATCTAACACTGGACTTGTAGCACTGGGAAGACATAAGTGACACAAGTATTGTCAATAGAAAAGGAACATTACAGCTGGTTAAGGTGTTGCTGGATGCAGGTAGCATTGGCAACTGGTATCTTCTCCCCAGTATCAAGCCCCGTTGAAGACACCACCAGGGGGCAGCCAAACACAAGGCAGATAGAGGAACAATGGTACTGAGCCATGAAAAGCCATAAGGAGAAAATGAGATATTTAAGAATAAACTATAAAATCTGGATTGCTTCTGCACCTTATTATTTATTTTTTCACAGATAATTTCAGATGTAGACTGGATAAAAATCCACCAGCTGTACTCATAGGTTTCTGTAGCAGCTGGTGTACTACTGTTATCAAAAAATACACAACAAACATTTACAAACACACGGTCAAATGCAAAGTCACAGCAATATAACACTATTAATGAAGCAGACATGGAACATGAGTGACAGGACACAACCTTCAGGAAGGTGATCTTCTCACTGCACTATAAAGCCAATCCTTTGGGCGGCACCATGGAATCATGCATCATTTTATTGCATTTACATTGTGATCATCGAAATTTGGAATCAGTCTAATTTTGCAAGAGAACACATAATGATCCTGGGAATCTCCTGAAAGGGTGAACGGGAAGAAAACAGAGGTCAATAATCTGCTTTGGGGCTTGAGAAGAACGACACATGTAAACGACAGACTGTAGCCTAACATAGTTTGTGTTGGTGTGATGTTTCAAGTTAAACAGTGATTACCCAGACAAAACAATTTGTCAGCTGCAATATCACATGTTTTTTTCTCTCTCTTTTTTTCTTTACACACCATTATACGCAAACACGCATCTTCTCCAGCTTGCAGGATTCTGTAAGGCATAATGGTGTTTAAATATCCAAGTAACATTGCAACAGCTCATCATCCAGTCTCCAATATTTACATGTTTTCAATACGGGTCACTGTTTCTGGGGTTAAATCCATACAGAGGGCTTGCCCTCTCCTGATTTGCTGCTGCTACTGTTGCTGCTGCTTCCACCTCCACTGCTCCCGCCTTTCCCATGCTTAAATCTATGCTTGCGCTCTTTCTGAGGCTGGGGTTGTGGCTGAGGTTGGGCCTGGATAATGTTACTTTGGGGCTTGTCATCCTGGTTGTCCCCAAGCTGCTCCTCTGCCCGGTGCTGCTGACTGTAGGCCTGGATAGCTGCCTCCAGTTGCTCATGAGCCTGCTGGATCATGTCTTTGTTCAGGGCTACACGGGCCTCTCCTCCAGTGGGGAAATTGTCCTCATTGCTACCAAACTGCTGCTGCTCCTCCTGGGCAATGTTAGCCCTGTTCTGTTTGCATGCCATCTTAGCGTTGCTAAGATCTGTGTAGGGCATCTGTTCTGGCTTCACAACAATGTTGTAACCAGGTGGAGCTGACGGGGTGTTCCACGAGAAGGGGTAGCCAACATAATCGGCAGCACCATCTCCTCCTACGCCTCCCTCAGAACCTGCCTCAGGACCTGCTGCCCCTACTGAGCCCTCCACACCCCCACTGGTACCCAACAGGCCCAGCTGGTACTCATCCTCCTGAGGTGGGCAGCGGCGACGGCGAAGAATGTCACAAATGGAACCAATGCCCAAATGGAGCATTTCCCAAACATTGAGTGTGAGGCAAAGGACAGTGACACCATACATGATGCGCAGGAAAATGGTCTTCTCTGTAGGCCTCGACACAAAGCAATCAACACTGTGTGGACAAGGTTTCCCTGAGCACACAAATATGGGCATCACACGGAAACCATACAGCAAATACTGGCCTGTAAGGAAACCAGCCTCCAACACCGTACGAGTCACCAGCTGCAAAACATAGACCCGCATTAGCCCTTCATCTCGGATTCGCTTACGCCCATCATGTCGGATTTTGGGTCTGGGTGTGGGCTGCAGTGGGTCCCGTGGCCTTTTTGGGGGCTCGATCTCCGGCACCTCATAGATCATTGGATCATCCTCCTGGTCTTCCTCGGTCTCCTCAATGCCTCGGTGCTGTCTTGCTCCAAAGCACATTTTCCTAGGTTTTCTGTGCGTGTAGCCCCCTCCTCCTGTCCTAACAGCAACAGATCCAGCTCCTCCTTTGGCTTCATCTAATCGTGCAATTCTGTTGACAGCATAGCCCATGTACATGAGAGAAGGCATTGCCACCAAGATAATCTGGAAGACCCAAAAGCGGACGTGAGACAGAGGGGCGAAGGCATCATAGCAGACATTCTCACAGCCTGGCTGGCCTGAGTTGCAAACAAACTTGCTCTGTTCGTCGTAGTAGATGGACTCTCCCCCAACGGCAGTAAGAACAATGCGGAAGATGATGAGCACGGTGAGCCACAGCTTCCCCACGAAGGTGGAGTGGTTGTGGATCTCCTCCAGCAGCCGCGTGAGGAAGCTCCAGCTCATGGTGTCGCTGGACAGTGGGGCAGACAGTGTCCCTCTCTCACCTGTTCACAGACTCTGGAGAAAGTAAAGAAAGAGAAAAAGTGTCAAGACAAGAGTGAAACAAGGAAGGTACAGTAAGCTGACAGTAAATGCCTCCACACGAGTATCACCAACATTTCAAAACATGATCAAAGCATTTAGTCACTTTTGTCCAAATATTAATAAGACTTTAATTCATGCAGAAATAGCATTAGCCCTGCAAGTTTAGCAGCAAGATGGTTAAGGGTGTGACATAATAATTGCCTTAATTAAAATGAATGTTCCCCTCTGATCTCACGGAGTCACCAAATCCTTAATTTGATCTGTTGCTCTATACATTTCAAATGCAAGCCCACTGATTTTAGCTCAGTGCCACAGTGAGGTTGCTGTCAACTTTGGGCTTTTTAGAGAATTAGCAGACCAAACAGGGTGGAAAGAGGATCTCAGTATTAAAAAAAATACCATCAAACAGCACTGAGAAGGAGCTGAAATAATCCAAATAGGGAATTTGCTATCACCAAATACACACACACTTTATTTAACAGCCTATCTCTTTCAGAAGAAATAAATCCTCTTAGTGAGCCTTCTTCTGTATGAGGTGCAGTTTTCAGGATTGTATTAACTTCACTGGTTTGTTCTGGTTGGGAGGTAAATGGAATTGAACCCTACTCTGCTGCATGTGTGCATGTGCAGCTCAGGGATAGAGACATGTTGCCTATGTAGGTTAGGTCTGGGCTCCAGGCTGTCCATCCTCACCAGCAGAACCAGCAGGTGGCCAGGCACAAGCCACTGGAGCGGGATTTCAGACAGCAGACCCACATTATCTCAGGCAGTGGAGCTGAACCCAAACACTGCTGTCCCTGAGGGTGGCTTTGGGGGATGAGTGTGGCACCTCCACAGAACTTTCCCCCTTATGAAGCCACAGTAGCGCATGGCTTATTGTCAGCTTGACTGAGAGGAAAATCCAGGCATGAATACGAGCTTAGTTTGGGCTTTAAAGGGCTTCCAGGGACAATATCCTTACCAAGCAGGTTGAGAGCTTAGTTCAAATGAGCTACATTAAGAGAGAAAATGTAGCTATAGCAGAGACGCATGAGCTCCCAGCCCTCTGCTTTGTGTCTCCAGTAGGAGTCAAGAGGGCGGGAATGTTTGGAAGAAGGCTTGTGATAAAACATGTCGTAAGTATTGATCATTCTGACCATATAAGGGCATGCCTGAGACACAGGAGGTAAATGTCAGGAATCCTCTGTGTGAGTACGCTCCGGTGTGCGTATTACCAACACGTGAGTGCACAACAGCTCCTTCTGAGAGTGTTTTTGCAGTTAGAGTAAGCATTGAAGTCCTTGAAAGAGCGCCAACTCTAAGAGTCTGTGAGCAACAAATATGAGTAAGCAGCACATGGCCGGAGCGGAGCAAGAGGTTGCCATAAGCACAAAGAGTCATAACAGTGTCCTTTCATCGTGGAGCTCTGTCTGACTGTTCCTGCATTACATCACAGCATTTCTTTACATAATTCTTCTGCACAGTTGTCCTTTAGCTAATAATATCCAGTTCCACAGACAAAAAAGCAACCACAGAGATGAAAGTTTGATTAAATAAGGCTATTCTATCTATCTTACTCTATCTTTTCTCTCTGTCTACTTTCTGTACTTTTCTACTTCTTATTTTATGGTACTGGTATTTTCACATTGGACCTTTTGCTATATTTTTTTACCTTTTCTCCCGTGACCTCTTCACCTAACAGGTACTGCTGATTTGGGGTGTTATTCACACAGTATTTTTTGATATGCGGTCACTTTACAGCTCCTGGGAGTAATATGCATTATGGTCCAGCACTACTTTGACTTGTTCAGTCATGGAGCTGATTTATTTTGAATTTTACAGATCCCAGACACTTGAACTGCAAGCTTGCTTTATTTATTATTTAATTTACTGGCTTGTATTTGCAAATCTTTTTTCCCCGATATCTGATATAAGCTCTATTTGGTCTATTCTAATCATGTGGTTAAAGAAATTTAGCGAATGAAGCCCAAAACTGCACTTCCTCAATTGGCTCTAAAACAGAGTTAACTCCTACTGACTCAGGTGGTGAAATACCCAAATTCCAGAGCAGAGGTGAGTACATCTATATCAGAGCACAGACTGATATATAAAACAATTTTGGTTTCTGCAGCTGTTTTTCTACTTCGCTATTTTATTCATCTGTTAAAAATTGTGTTACTGGTTAAGCATTATAGCTGATAAAGCAATACTGCACCCTTTTATCCAAACATACTGATAATATAGTTAACCCACCATAGTTTTCAATTATAGATACAAAAAAAAAGATTAAAAAATGTTCTGTAGGTTTGTAAAACATCCATGACAACCCTTTTATGCATTTAGCTTGAGGCTTAGATTAAAACAATCATTGAAACTCCACAAGTAATAGAGGAATTTCACTATGTCCTTTGATGGGCCCTTGTTCACCCGTGTTAAGTCCTTAGGTAATTTTTGCACCAGGAATTGAAAAGCTTCACCCTGACCAGGAGAGATGCTCTGATCCAGGCACATAGCTGCCTGTTTTAAATCCTCCTGCTACCTTAGTTGCATATAACCTGGCATTTTGCTTTCTCATCCAATTTACGTCTTCAGGAGCTAGTGGGGCAGTTAGGGGTAAGAAGCTGACTCTGTGCATTAAGTTACCGAGGTGAGTCAGCCTCCCGAATAGCACCGTGCAGACACAACAGGCAGACTTTCTGTCAAAAATTTTGATATGAAGAATGAACAGCAAATTGGTGGAAATCATGTCACACAAGAAAACGTCAAAAAGCACAGCAGACTCTAGTTCAAAAGTTAAAAATGGTAAGAGTCACAAGGAAATCCCCTCCAGTGTAAACACAGCAATTTTCAACTAATGAGCTTTGAAAGTGAATCACAGTCAGGATCAATGGCTCCACAGCCATCTGCGAAAAGGTCATGACTGTGTAATCACAGGTCAACAAACACAGATATATCAGTCTCTCTTTGATATATCGGAGCCACGCTGAAGTACAAGGTCAGAAGTTAACACGATCACTTCTCGGGGGTTGAAAACTCCACATCACAGCCCTTACGTACTGAATCAAACAGACAGTTACAGTGAGCGTCACCGCAGGGATCCCCTCAGTCACTAACTCTTCTCCTGCAGGATCCACAGAGACTCATATCCAGATATAGTATGTAGACCGACAGACAAGCAGACACACTTACAAGTTCAAAGGCCCCCTCAGTTTCCTGCCTGTGACTTGGCACACACTAACTTGGAGTATTTTTGGAGCAAGTTGTGCATTTAAATATTGAACGCTGTACTTAAATTACATATATATCATGTTTTGCATAGGTTTATTTTATACTTTATGTACTACCCTGATAAGAAGGACTGAATGTCTAATGGTTTTTTGCTACGTTTCAGGGCAGTTTGAATAATAAATGTACTGTAAAACAGAGAAAAGAAAAACCTCTAATGAGCGCATGTAAAGCTAATAGATTTATTAGCGTTTGGTTGAACTTTAATCAAGCGAAGCACACTAATGCGTATATTTATACATTTGTTTCTGTTTGTATAAATGCATGACTCTATTTCTGGTCACCATATTTAGAAATGCATATTGCGATTGCATTGATTTTTTTGGGAACATTTTCCATAATTAACATATTGCACTTTACTCCGACTGTACTCATTCACAGACCAGCAAACCTGTACAATTACAGTAGTGGTCATTGATCAGTCAGTCCACAGCCATTAAAGTACAGACTGTTTTCCCACAGGGAATTAATTTTCTTAGTCTGCTAATCATCAATTAGATCTCTCTTAGTGTTTTTAAAGTGATTGTAAAGAAAAAAAATATCACTGTCAGCGTTTTATTCAGTCGACGCTGATTTGGCTCCTGATCCTGCTGATCTGCTGTTGGACTGCTGCCTTTAAAACACTCCTCATTTGAACTTTTACTGCCTTCTGGGACCTATCTGCAGATGTTAGTGGCAGACAAAGTTTCTCTTTCTTTTCAGTATCTAACCAGAAACGTTATCACATTGACAATCACAGCATGTTAATGTAAAAGGTTAAATAATTTCAACCTGTATTATATTTTGTTTTTGCAGCAGTTTTAGGTGAGCAACGTGTTGTGAAAACAATGCTACCTAAACTTTATGTCTGCTTCCCTTTTTGTCCTCTGTATTTTATTTATATTTTATTTATATTACTTGTCTTCAACAATGCCCCGTGTCAAGGTTTTGTTGCATTTAGTACTTACTAAATCCAACAAGACAAGTACAATACTAGTATTTAGTACTTATAGAGTTGAGCTGACGGGTTATCTTCTTTCACCAAATAAAAATCACATCTACAAAATCATATAGTGAAAATAAACATTCAGCAATTATTGCTAAAGCAGAATATAGTGGCTGACAGGCAGGCAAACCAGCTAGAGAAAAAGAACTATTCCACTGGGAGAAGAGTTAATTGCGCTGCTTGCTTGTCATAAAGTCACATTTTCAATTTTTATATTAACAGGAATTTAATCAGCGGAGTTCCAGTGCTTGAGTTCCAAGCTGCCCGTGCTCTAAATGCTGTAGTGTGTTCAGAAATGTAATATGCTGTCCTTGGAAAGCTTAATCACAAAAAAGACATATTTCTTTCCAAAGAATGAACACTGCAGCTAATAATTAATTTGCGTTGCAATGGGAATTCAGGCACAGTGAAGTCAGTTGTGTATGTGTTGTAGCCTGTCATTAGTCTTTTCTGCTATTGCATTTAATATCATACCAAGAGAGTGACATGTCTTATTCCACAATTCACCAGAAATGCTGATTGTTCTGTTAACACTAAAAAGGAAGCCTCAGAGTTATCAGAGGAAAAACCAAGAGCATCTTCTAGAGTCAGAACTCCTCTGCCTGTCCTTGTGTGGGGGTCAGCACCGTAGTGCCCTCTCCCTCTGTTCTGCCAGTGGCATCTTCAGGCTTCACCGTTGCCCTTCACAGTCCCAACTTGTCCTACGCAGACGGCACAGATCAAA